AACACTTCCTTTTTTATTTCATTTTACAATTTTTTTTTTATATCGAAGTTTTTTTCTTATTTCTCTCTTCTCCTTCAAACTTTTTTCTAATTTTTGTCTTTCCTTCTTCAACGTTCGACTCAAAGCACAAATTGATCGACACAATATAAAAATAAGATGAGTTGTTGCTTCTAAGAAAGAAAATTAAAAAAAAAAAAAACAATTTTTTACGTTTTGCTTATTTTAACTATTTGCTGACCTTTTATTTTGTTTTCCTTTTCCACCTCGGATATCTAATTTATTTCCCCTTTGGCATTCCGTATTTTGTTTTTAAATTTTTAATGCTAGCCTCGTTTTCATTCACTTGTTTTGTACGGGACTTTTTTTCTCCAAATTAGGGAAATGTTTTTAGCGAAGTAAAATAAATAACATACAAGTTTTAAGGCAGTTGAATGGAGTTGGGGTTGGTGTCTCGCTGAAATGAAAGCATTTTTCTAAAGTATTTAGATGTTTGTTTTCAAATAAGAAAAGAAAATGAACTTACTTAAATTGTTTGAATTTATCGGATGTTGCATATACACAACTGGAAAAGTACTTGAATGGAAAGAAGAAAAGAAAGAAGAAATTAGAGAACAGTAGAAAGGAGAGGAGAAAAAGAAAGAAAGAAAAAGAAGTAAAAGAAGAAATAAAAGAACAAAAGAAAGAAGAAATAGAATAAACAAGAAAGATGAAAAAAATAAGGAAAATATTAAAGAAACAGAAGGACAGATCAAAAGAAAGAAAGAAAGAAAGAAAGAAAGAAAGAAAGAAAGAAATGAAGGAAAGAAAGAAGAAATAAAGAAGAAAAGAAAGAAGAAATAAAAAAGACTGGAAAGAGAGAAAAAATAACGAAAATATTTAAAGAAACAGAAGGATAGATCAATATAAAGAAAAGAAAAGAGAATAGATACCATCGTCCTAACTATCATCACTCACAGAATCAATGTGACGCTTAACAACAAAGGCACCTCGAAGACCATGGCACCTAAATATCAGATATCTCAAAAGTCTTCGACAAAATGTGGCACAAAGGCTTACTACAAAAGCTCTCCAGTTATGGAATCACTGGAACGGTCTTCTCGATCATAAAAATCCTTCCAAAAAGACACAGGGGGGGGACCTTACAACCCTAACCCTAACCCTTAAAGTAGTTATTAATGGACAGCTCCTCCGGAGCTCTAGCGGTGAACGCAGACGTTCCCTAGAGGGTCACTCCTCCTCAGAACAATCCTTTTTTTGATCTACATAAATGATCTGTCTAAGAATATATTCAGATCATTTGTAAACATCAATGCCGATAATACGACTATATAGGGTCGCACCTCTAAAACTCTCGATGGTTAGAGATTTTGTTGATTGAAACCCTCTTCTGATCTTGTGGAATACTAGCCAATGAGGCAAAAACTCACACGCAACCTCAAGTGGAACTCGTCCATATGATCCATTGCTAATGATGCATTTTACCAAATGATCGGCTCCCTGTACCGCTGCAGTAAGTACCTGCCTCCTCCTGCTATCCTCTCCGCTTACAAGAAAAAAATGGAGTACTGTTCCCATATTTGGGCGCGAGCTGTCAAGATCTCGCTCTTCAGCCTTGATAGAGTTCAAAAGCGTCTTCGAGCCATTGTGGGTGAAGAATTATTCTCCATTCTTCAACCTTTCTCCCACAGGTGGAATGTGACAAGCCGCTAGATGCTCTGTCGTTACTTCAAGTGCTCGGGCAAACTACATCCCCTTGCCATTTAAAATCTTCACGACAAGGGCACTCCATACCATTTACATTGTAGCCATTCCGTCCGTATTCCATCGGTGAGAAGTACGTCCCAATCGAGCTTCTGCTTCCTGTGAACCATTGCCCTGTGGAACCGCCTCCCAAAAGGATGATTCCACGATCACTATGATCTTAGCCTGTTCAAGGCTAGGGTTAACCGTTATGTTCCACTCCTATACATACAAATGGCTTCCAAACGTAAACCCCGAATGGCTCCCAAGCCTTATAAAGACTGATTCACGCTGTAAAAGTGCTTAGAATATTGTTGCCACATATGGTCTGGCGCCCTTCACTTTGAGCTTCTTGATAAAATCCAAAGAGAATTAGCAATATTATTGTTCCTGATCTAGCATATCGGCGTAACTCACTCTCCCACCGTCGTAAGATTGCCTCTCTGTGTCTTTTCTATAAACACTTTTCGGATGAGCTCTTTGCTATAGCCTGGCGTCGAGATCTCATCAATTTACAGTTGAGCTGGCGAGATGTAGCAGTAAATTCTATGCTAACAGTTTCTTCTCTCGCACTTCTCTCGTGTGGAACTGCCTTCCAGCTCCATGCTTTCCATCCTACTTTAATCTCTAAAAACTTAAATACAACGTCAATCACTATATACTGTACTCCTGATCATTATTTTCTCTTCCCATTCATTACTAATGTTTCTGTTCCTAGTTCATCCACACCTTGCAACCCCTTATGTCTCATCGGTTTTACTGCCTTGCTTGGAGTGAAATCAATTAAAAAAACAATAAGTAAAACCCGTTCTTGTTAATTCTATACACTTTCAGCATCTTTGTGAGATTTTGGGTTTTGGGCATTGCATTTCTGATTGACCTGAGACGAATATTAATTATTAACCTGCCAGTTAAGTCCTTGTATTTAAACACGCCAAATCAATTATTTATAGCTGGCCAGTCTTAGTTAAACTCTTGTATTTAAACACGCCAAATCAATTAATTATAACAGGTCAGTCTTAGTTAAGCCCTTGTATTCAAACACGCCAAATCAATTAATTATAGCTGGCAAGTCTTAGTTAAGCCCTTGTATTTAAACACGCCAAATCCCGCTGTTCTGGCGAGCTGATTAAAAATGACTGAGGAAATCAACTCACTACAATATTTTAAGCATTTGCTTAGGACAAACCCGTAAATATTTCACACTCCTCTTATCGACGAATGATCAATAGAACAAACCAGGCGAGGCTTAGCGTTCGGTTGGTTTTTTTTGCAAGGTTCAATGCCATTTTCTAGGGGAGGGGCGTCATTTCCATTGGACCAGTTCAGCGGATATTAAATATAATAACGAACAGGAAGTTAATCGCCTTTGCAACTGACGGAATAATTAATAGAGCCTGCAACAAAACGGATGCAATGCTTTTGTTTAAAGAGACAAAGACTAGGAAACATAGAATGAAATAACTTGTCTAATGTCATCGAACAGATTCAGTTGACTTGGTAGATTTTGTGATAACACTTGTTTGTTCATTCAATGTCGAAATGCGTTTCCATCGTTATTATTATTATTATTGAATTCATAGAATGACATCGGTATATGCGTAAAAATTGGTCGAGTTTCTACTTACGCCTCTTGGTAAACATTGGCCGGATTTGTACATGCTTTTATAGGTTGATCGGGTTTATCCTTGAGGCCATAGGAAAATATTAACAGAGTTTATACTTGAGTTTATAGGTAAACATTGATTGAATGTCTACTAGAGTCATTTAGCAAACATTGTTGTGCTTATAATCAAATGTTAGATCATTGACTGACAGACACTTTCAAATATTCCCACAAGGTGTCGAATGGTTTCGCAGGCCCCCATGACACATTGTAGAAACGTCTCTGAATTATCAATGTCTGCTGCATAAACCACTTGTTTTTGGTGGCCCTACAGATAAAAAATCCAATGGTTGAAGAACGAGGGAATGTGCAGGACATGGAACTGGCCCTCCCCTACCTATCCACCTTTCATGATAGATGGCAGCCAGTGCATCGCGAACAATGTGAGCCCCATCACGTATGAACTACTTGCGTCTTCGTATTAGCAGGAGTGCATCCTCTAGCAGATTTGGAAGTGTGTTCGAAATAAAGTCCTGTAAGACGAGCTGAGAGAAGATATAGACCTACCAGACAGTCACATATAATTCCATCCTACACATTAATTGCAAACAGATGCTGGTGTCTAGTCTGTATTGTACCATGGGGATTCCGATCCGTCTACAAATGTTGGCTGTGTAAATTTGTTATTCCATCTCTCTTCCAAATGTTGTCTCATCCATAAACGGGACTGAAGAGACAAACAACGGATCGGCAGTTTGTGCAATAAACAATCGGCAAAAGTTCTCCCGTGGTGACTGATCGGAGGGCGAAAGACCCGTTGCACATATTTCAAATAATACGGATATAGGAGCTGCTCTTGAAGTAACCTCCATGCTGTACGACATGCTAGAACCACTTGATGTGTGCTGATACTGGATCATCTCCGACAGCCTGTAAAATGTGTTCTTCACGGTTTTCTTCGATCCATAATTTGTGGTGCCACGGATCCTGTCTCAGCAACGCGGCGATAAACATCAGCAAAGGTTTGATGACTCGGATAGCTTTGTCTGGAAATGCAGTCTGATACAGCTGTTTAGCCTCGCGTCCATTACCATTCGCGTGGCCGTATATAAAAACCATGTCTGCTTGCTCGTGGTATGAATATCCTGCCATTGTTAAACGGAACACTTCTCAGTTAAATCACTACTACACACGTTAAACGTTCAAGCCACAAATGTACACGAATGACAAATATAACGTAGTCTACATGGCAACACAGCGTCATCTACCATAAACTTTCTGTAAACTTAATCGAAACTTGGTCGAAAACTATTTGCATTATTATTAGCAGTAGTAGTAGTAATATAGATAAACATTGGTCAGGTTTTTACTTGAGTCTAACGGTAAACATTTGTTGGGTTCATACTTAAGTCTGAAACATGCAATCTTGGAGTGAGCCTCTGCAAATGATGTAGTCGGCATATTTTCATCTTCGCCAATATCGTCGTTAATTTAGTCATGGAAATTTGCTGTCACTTATTGTTCGGGACATGTGGCTTGTTCCCTCGTTTTAGATACACATCTTCCTGATAAAAAAGAAAAAGAAAAATGTGAAGTCGAAGGATGGGCGGGGGTGGTTCTTGTGTGTCACTAAGATTCGTTCTTTCTAAGTCTA